TAGTCAGAAACCTACACTTTTCCACCTTAAGAGGACGTCACACCTGCATGTGTTGTCGCCGTCTGACATACGTACAACATACCAAATTTGCGTTCAGTGATTCAAATGTAGTGATGTTAGCTTTAATATTAAAGTAAACTGACCTATAATCAAACTTTAAGGGAAGAACTTGATCTGTGCTTTGTTGGTCAGTTTTTTCCGATATTTTAATTTTTTAGCGAGTTATGACGTTTTTTTTAAATGTTATATTTTATATACTCTGTATGTATATACAACTATCAATCCTGCGGACACACGCGAAATAATTGCCATCATGAACCTAAATGCGTAAAAAGTTATGATAATAGCTTATTTCAACGCCTAGTCTAAAACCAAATCCCCAAAAAACATGTATGTAAATGAGAGCCAAGTTCAATACTACAATATATGCTTTGGTTGTTAACTTCAACGACAAAAGAAGTGAGATCTAAATGGGTGCCAAGTTCAATGGTCAGTCCTGAAATTTATTAGTAATAACATAAAATATTTTATAACAACATAAAATATAATTTCTTCATATAACTTAGGATAACATATTAAAGCTTAAGGTCTGACTTGGCTAGTTTTCATATACGAATTATTATTAAGTACCTATTAAAACAGTAATGGAAGAGTAAAGATGATTTTCGGAAGAATAAAATAAGAACTCGCAGCTTTAGAACTTGCGAAGGCTATAATATAATTCATAGCCAAGTCAGACCTTAAGCTTCAATATATTATCCTAAGACTTAGGACCTAATTTTCAAGAAGAAATGAAATTTTATGTTGTTATAAATAAATTACAGGACTCACCATTGAACTTAGCACCCATTTAGATCACTTATTTTGTCGTTGAAGTTAACAATCAAGGCATATATTATAGTATTGAACTTGGCTCTCATTTTACATGTATGTTTTTGGTGGGATATCATTACTTTTTGTTTGTAAATTATTAATAGCTACTAATTCATAATAAAATTATTTCCAAATGGCATGTTCACGTCAAAATTTTATTTTATGTTCTGTGATTTTATCGCACCGTTCCCCACCCCGCTACTCCACGACAAATATTGTGTTCATTTTGACCGTTCATTATTTTAACTGACGATGAGAACATTATCTGTTTTTTGAAACATAAATAATACCATTGATTATAAATACTAGTACCTATAGTAGTATTCGAGTAATATACTAATATAGTATACGTCACGGTCTTAGAAGATAAGGTCGGACAACTCCTACCTTACCGCCTATTGCATCATTTCCTCTTAATGAGGCAAAAACATTTCTCATGTGGCCGCAAAAGCACTGCCGGTTAGACGTATTTTAAGATTAGGAAATTAATATTAGACTTTAACCAAACAGCCAGCCATAATATAAATTCATTCAAACACGCATTGGAGATTGGTTTATTATAATATTACTTGATGAAAACATTATATGTTACTGTCAACTATCATCTATAAACTTATAATTTATATTTAATTTTTTTTTATTTCTTTATTATTTGATTGTATATTTAAAATGCCAAATAAAATTTGTTACTTTCATTGCAACAATAGTAACAATGAAAATCTATCAGTGTTTAATGTTCCTAAAGATAAATGGCAACAATCTTTAGGGATAGATAATTTTAGCAGTACAGCAGTTATTTGTGAGAAACATTTTTGGAATAACCAAGTATTAAGAACAAAGGATATCGTTGATAAATTAGGAATTATTATTTTATATATTAACCAGCTTCGCCCCTCATACCCCTATTGCCGCAGACACAAAACAATAATTATTAATTGAAATAAAAACAATCATAAAATATTATTACCATACTATATTATTAAAAATCATGTACCTACTTCTATGTAGTATGTTTTACATAAAATATGACAACACCACCGCAATATTCTACTGTCGTCCATCACATTTATTAGATAATAATATTATTATTAATTATGTAGGATTGTAGGAATTACAAAATAAACTATAATAATAATATTTTATATTTATACAATTTACTTTTGAACAATTCTTTGCGTCATATACTCATATTATTTAGTATGTATCTCACTATCTCATGCTTAAATTATCATTAAATTTTAAATAATCAAAAAATTTAGGGGGCTATAATACATTTGGGGGGGGGCTAAGCCATTGATAGTATAGTATAGTAAACAGACCTCAGTGACCCGGTGTGTGTTCTTGTTCATCGACTGTTCGGCACTCAGACTCAGCAGTCTGTGTTCGATAGTCAAAAATGTTATGTAATAAAGAACCAAAAATGTTTGTATAAATTCGCCGTAGTTATATATTTATTTTATCTTTTTTTTTTAAAAAAAAAAATAAACTAAGATAACTCGACGAATCCTACATGCTAATTTTTAAAATTCTTAAATTTTCAGAAATTACATTTTATTTTGACAAATTAAAATAACCAAATGATTTTAAGTACGATATTATAAATCAATCAGTGTTTGACTGGCTAATGATTGGGCCTACGGCGATAAGATTTACAATAAGTTCATAAACAACATAATATTGGAGTGATATTCAAAGAGTATCCACTAAAAAATGTTTTCTTGCTACGATCTCTGCAAAGGAAATCATAATTTATTTTCCAAACTCAAAATTATCGAATATGTATCATTGTATCCATATATGTAATCTCAATTTTTCAAAGTATTTATGTTTTTATTCGTTCGATTTTAATAAACAGAACGAAAATTTATATAGGTATAAATAGGTATAGGTAGGTGTGATACATAATTTTATTATATCGTTTCAACAATATTTCATGATTAAGATAAAAAAAACATGATTTTAATTTAATTTAGGAAAATAATTACTATAATATTTCATATTAGAATTGGTGTCAAAAAATTAAGACAGTCGATAGCGTTGGTAAACGGACACTGGACTGTAACATAGTAATATATATAAAAAAAGGCACTAGTTGGAGAATACATTTTTTATTATAAATGTGAAGTATGTTATGATTACCTACAACAG